AGAAGAAAGGAAGGAAGGAGAGAGGAGGGAGAGGGAGGGAAGCAGGAAGGAAAGAAGGAAGGAAGGAAGGAGGAGAGGGAAGGAAGGAAGGAGGGAGGGAGGAGGAGAGGGAGGAAGGAGAAGGAGGGAGGGAAGAGGGAGAGGGGGTGAGTGAGGGAGGGAGGGTGCCTGTGAGCTCTGTGTGGGGGCAAGGAGGCTTCCATAGGAGGTGGGCAGTAGCCGGACCCTGAGGGATGGCACTCCAGTGAGAGGGGGGTGATCCTGGGAGGGGTGAGGCGAGAGAAGGGGTGACACAAGCCTGGAAGGTGAGGAACCATAGGGTTTGCCTTCTGGGGCTGGGGGACATCATTTGTATAGAGTAGAGAATTCATGCCCAATCATATATGACGCTTAAAGGCGCAAGAGTCTGCCTTGGATGTTTATTTTAAAAAAATCTAGAAGAAAATGGCATGTGTTATTGATTTTTTTTTAAGCTAAAGTGTTTTAGTGAAAAGATTATTTTTGGTGTAAAAAGAAAGATTATCCTTCTCATTTTTCACAGCCTAGGAGCCAGAATTGGCTTGACCCACGGTGGTAATAACCACCTGGAGACCCTGTTCCTGAATTATGGGCTCCCTTGGAAGGGGAGGGAGAAGGGCGTAATTGAAATGGTGAGCAGCCAGCCATGGGACCCCTCAGGTCACCCAAACACAGGCTCACCCCCACCCCCATACCCAAGGTCAGGTGGGATGGGTCCAGGACTCTGAGAACATCTCTGGGTCCCCATGTCCCTATAGGGGATTTCTCGGAAACACAGAGCAGACCTCGCAGCTCTTCCCTGCAGGACTGAGGTCAAACTCCCATGTCCAGTCACGGAACTGGACTAACATTTCCAAAAGCTCCAACACTGAGCAGCGCTCTGAGGCTACAGCTCAAAATCAAAATAACTCGAAACCATAAAACATAAAAACCTATATATATATATATATTATAGAGCTTCTTTCTAGATTTTCTGCCTGCAAAGCTCTTGGATTACACATTTCATTCAAGTAGAATTTGTCTCCTTCTTTGCAGCTGGTGCCCTGGGCGCGGCCCCTGGACTTGGCTTGTGCCCTTTCCTCCTCCATGCTCGCTCTTGGAGCCCCTTCCACTGACTGAACTTCCACTCATGTTTAATACACAGTCCAGATGGAAAGCAATCTGCTCTGCAGCCCCTCCCTGGTCCCCTGCGGCAGCCAGGCACTCCCACCTTCCCCCACCTTTCCTCTCCTGCCCTTGACACAGCTGACACCATTGTACACCTTGAACTCCACCAGAAGCTGTTTCTCGGCTCTAGAGTGCACGTCTCTGAAGTCTATAGTTTGTCCTAGTCACCTTCTATCCTTTCTGTTTAGCTTAGCTAGGGTACACAGCAGGTGGTTCCATTTGTGTCTGAAGGAGGGAGGGAAGGAAGGAGGGAAGGAAGGAAGGATTGAAGGAGGGAGGGAAGGGGAGAGGAAGGAGGGAAGGGAGGAAGGAGGGAAGGAAGGAAAGGGAGCAAGGGGAGGGAGGAGGGGAGGGAAGGTGGAAGGAAAGAAGGAAGGAAGGAAGGAAGGAGGGAAGGGAGAGGAAGGAAGGTGGAAGGAAGGAAGGAGGGAAGGAAGGAAGGAGGGAAGGAAGGAACAAAGGAAGGGGGAGGGAGGAGGGGAGGGGAGGTGGGAGGAAGGAAGGAAGGAAGGGAAGGACGGAGGAAAGAGGAAAGGAAGGAAGGAAGGAGGGAAAGAAGGAAGGAGGGAAGGAGGGAAAGAAGGAAGGGGGAAAGAAGGAAGGAAGGAGGGAAAGAAGGAAGGAGGGAAGGAGGGAAAGAAGGAAGGAGGGAAGGAGGGAAAGAAGGAAGGAGGGAAGGAGGGAAAGAAGGAAGGGGGAAAGAAGGAAGGAAGGAGG